TCTGAAGTTGAGATGAAAAGCTAAACATAGCTAGTTCATGGAGACAGAACTATGTAAATAATCACAACCCAGGGTGACCATAGCTTTGCACAAATTTCTACTAAGGTCTGTGGAGGCTCAGGTAATAGTTACTGGTTTTGCCTGGGTGGGTGGATCACTGGAGGTTGGGAAGATTGTCAGAGAGCAGAGAACATTTAAGGGAGAGCTTAAAGGAGGCATAAAGTTTGCCACAGTAAGGAAGGGCAGTACAGATGATGGGGAAATGTGGGTCCTACGCTGGAGATGGGAAAGTGATTGAGAATGTGGTCAGTAGAAGTTGCAACATCTCAGTAGAGGATCATCCTGGCCAGGGTCCAGAAAGGAATGAGCTGCCTTGCCAAAGAGTTTGGTAGACTGCTGGAGGTTTCTGAGCAGAGGAAATGTCATGATCAAATTTGTATTTTAAAAGAATGCTGTTGATGACCATGTGGAAGAACAATGGAGGTTGTAAGCCTGCCTGGAGACCAGCCCCAGAAGATTGCTCATGAATGCATGGATCCAGTGCTTGGCCTAATGTTTTCCACACATCAGTCCTGGAAAGTGTCTATCCCTTAACGTGCAGTCCCAGAAGATAAAGATCTAAAATGGTGGATTGGCCGATTCTAAAGAGCTTGTGTCCAAAATAAATTTTACCTGTGGCATTATTGAGACTGTGTCATTCTTCCCATTTAGACATTCTTTCTAGTGGACCCTCTGTGGATGAACAGAATTGACCTTGTGCCCTGTACTGAACCCATGAATACGAGGCACAATTTTTTTCTTAGTAATATTATGTATTTTCTGAATATAATTTGTTAGATTTATACTTAGGTAATTGATGGGTTTTTGGATGATACTGTGAAGGCATAAAATTTTATTCTTCAAGTGTAAGACTTAAAAGCTTTTAACTAGTCTTTCCTCTCCTCAAGCATCTGCGAGCACCAATGCAGAGCAGGCAGGGATTCTGGGCAAGGAGAACTGCAGTCACATCTGCTCCCCCATGATTCAAACAGGTAAATCTTTTTTAAAATTTCAATTTACTTATTTTTAACTAGAGGCCCAGTGCACAAAAATTTGTGCACTCAGGTGGTCCCTCAGCCCGGCCTATGCCGTCTTACAGTGTGGGACCCCTCGGAGGATGTCCACCCCAGTGGGAACCCTCACCCCATGGAGGTTTGGCCTGCCTGGGTGAGGGGCTGATGGCTGTTTTCAGGCTGGCCAAGCACCTGAAGACATAAGCTCCCAGCCTCTCCTTTGTTTCTTTTCTCTTTTTTCTTCTGGGATTTATTTACCTTCTATAATTGAAACTTTGTTGTCTTTAGTGGAGGCCTGTGGAAAGCTTGGCTTCCCCCATTTCCAGGGACAACCCACTCCTGCTCGCTCCAGCTCAGTGGCCACAGCTGGCTGAAAGCAGGTATCTGGAGTTTGTTTACCTTCTATAATTGAAACTTTTTCCCTTTCAGTAGAGCTCAGAGCTGGCTCCTGCTTGCTCCAGCTCCGTGGCCACAGCTGGCTGAAAGCAGGTATCTGGTTTATTTACCTTCTATGATTGAAATTTTGTTGCTTTTGAGTGGAGCTCAGAGCCATTGGCAGGCTGGCTTCCTCCATCACTGGAGCAAGCAAGCCTCCTGCTCACTCCAGCTCCGTGGCTGCCGGCCACCATCTTAATTGGGTTGATCTGCATATAGTCGCTCTGATTGGCTGGTGGGCGTGGCTTAAGGCATAGCAAAAGTACCATCAATTTGCATGTTTGTCTTTTATTAGTATAGGATATTTATGAAAGAAAATGGCACAGAAAGATTTACTGTAAAGAACTAGAAAGATATACCAGAAAAACAATGCTGGAATGTTAACATTAATATCAGTAAAACAAAAATGTAAATAGAATTAATAAGAATATTATATTGATATTGGCATAAATTACTTTGATATACTTGGAGAACCTACCAATGATGCAAATACAAAGCAAAACTTGCATTTTGTGGGGGGAGGAGTCCTGAAAATAAATACACTAAGTATCAACTCAAAAAGCTAAAGAGAAAGTTGAGTAGGGGGGGAGGAAGAGAATAATCAAATAAGCTAAAAAATAAATTGATAAATATAAAAC